GTTTGTTAGAGCAGATGATGCTAATATTATTAATTTTAGCGATGAGGCGGAAGATAAACAAGATAACGAGCAAACCAAAGGGTCTGCTACCCAGGCGTAAGCTTGGTCGATTGGGACCTCGAGGTCAACCTCGGGGTCGAGCTCGGGTAGTCGGGGATACTCGAGAGTAATCTAATAGCTAGAAATATAATCAAACGCAGCTATTTATAATCGAAATTGAGTTTGTACGGTGAAGAACACATATAAAATGAAGAACATGTATAGAGGCAAAGGATATCGAGGTATCCTCAGTACCAGTGAGATCCAATAAAGAAACAGATTACTCGATCTATTTCCGTATGCTCATGATATATATCTTAACACGGACATCCATTTCAAGTGCATATCCCATTTTTGAACAGCAGGGTTATGAAAAGCCACGAGAAGCGACTGGACGTATTGTATGTGCCAATTGCCATTTAGCTAATAAGTCCGTGGAGATATTATTTTACTTTGTAGAATTTGTGGGAGCAACGTCCCTTTTTTAGAAGGTAGGGCGAGTTCCCTTTATATAGGAGAGGAAACTCGGAATACATGTATATTTAATTTATAAAATATGGAGATGTGATGGTTTAACTCGACACCCTAGCATAGGCTAGGGATAGGCCGCTCCTGTCAGACTCAACCACGTATATTGGGGGCTTCCCCCTTTTTTCTTTATCTTGGCCTTGAATCGGACCTCGACAGGCCTCGAAGGAGTGGACTAAGTTGTGACTTCATACCATCGGGGTCTTGAGATATCTTCCTGTGGTGGCTTCATGTTCTCGGGGTCTCGAGGTACCTCCCCGAGATGGCTTGATGGCGGGAAATCGGGCCCTCCGATTTCACCGCATACAACTGTACTCAACATCACACTGTTGCGGCATGCAACCCGATCTACACATAATACCATTGCGGCGTGCAACCCGATCCAACCATGATACCGGTGGCGGCGTGCCACCCGATCCAAATAATGTACCTGTGGTGGCGCGGCACTCGATCCACACATAATTATCTATAAAGGGATTACTTATCGAGCTAAAATGCTCATACCTGTGAAATACCCGAATATAAACCACAAGCACATGAAGTGCATAATGCAATTCCTGGGGAGACAGATAGCGCCATACGCTACAAAACTCAAGCACAACTAAGGTGCGATATATGATCTGCATCTCGAGAGCCATCCTGCTCACATAACACCATCGCTACGCGGAGCCTCAACACATATGCAATTAATCAATCTGTTTCACAACCCACACGGCACAATATAATATTACATGATATAGCCGACGACAAATTAACTTCCAACGTCCGAATACTCCTCCATAAGGAGCGCTATGCTGAAATGAAAACATCCGGCTTGATATAGAGCCCACATTCATATTTTGTTCCATCCACGGACCTCAAGACGATTCTGATCGTACCGCCCGGGGCTAATAACCTTTCACGGATCTATAATAACCCCTGACCCACAAGACAACCGTCAAATCCAGGACACACTTCCACAGTCCACAACCAAAAGTACCAAGCGCCCTTCAGGCATAAATTCTCACATTAGCGATAGTACCAAAAATCTCCATACTTGGTTTCAAATCTTCTGTCAATCAAGTGACTACATGTCACACTTATACAATCTTCTCGTGGGATACGCTCCCATGACCTTCAGCACCAGGTAGCAAGTCTGCACATCCATACCACCGGCCATACTAATGTTGTAAAGCGAATCAAGGACCCAAAAATCCGTACACAAGCCCTCTTATACTTGAAACCAATCTCAGGTGACGCTAAAGACAATATCAGCCTACTCTAAACATCTGCATTCTTTCCTGCTCATCCGAACCCGTGACATTTTTATCCACACCGAACCGCAACCTTGATCCTCAACTTTCAAATTTCATGTCGCTCACTGCACCTAACACACCAATACGTGAGACTGCAAGAATTTTACCATAACGCCTGAACCACTAATAGGATAAACACTTCATCATACAGAAACCTCTCACTTAACTCATTTTCAGGAGAACCATAGCAACACGCGACTGAATTCCCGTAATCGCAAAAATACAATCCTCTAGTAGTGGTCTAAACCACCATAACTCTTCCGAGATCCATCTACACATTACTCGAGTGCTTTCAAATTACGGTGATCGTCAAGCCTCGCACCTACTTCCACAAATCACCTGTATGCTTAACACGCTGAAGGAACTGATCATAGCCACCATCATGCCGATTCAACCATTGCTAACCGATCTGACTTCTTCTAGTTTACTTCGTACTTGCCTTAGGAATAATATTAGATCCATTCAAAACATGACGAACCCAAATCCACACTCATCCTGAGTGACCTATTTCCACAAGACAACGCTGTCTCAAACCCCACGAACCATCTCATACACTCCTTGTGCGCATATTCGCATCTTTAACTGGTACACCCACTCTAATAATCCTCTATGAATTCGAAGTCATTTTCTCCCATTCCTCTCATGTTACACCGCTGACCGAGGATAACACAGAATACTCCAAGCCTCTTTACATAATCCGCTGCAAAAGCTCGATACTCATCAATACTACGAACTCGAATCCTTAGGCACCACACCTTAACTTTTGAATCCACTAGGACTATTGTTGAGAGTCACCCACTCTGACTTGGTCTCGAATATAATCAACCCTAAGGCTCCGCTAGTGTATGCGGTGAAAACTGGGGAACCGATTTTCCCCCGACGCGATACTTTGGGGAATGACCCCGGAAGCACGGGATCTCGAGTCTGTCGCCTCCCTCGAAGCCCACCGATGCCTTGCCAAGAATAAATGATTACTAGAGGTCCGACGAGCGTAAAAATTCCCCGAGGAATGCACCCAGGGTCGACCAAATCTCCTCAAGCGGTTCGACACCAGCCCTCACACAACGTAAAGCCAACGGACTGTCACATCTCATCCATTTTTGTCATGTTAAAAGATTCTGTACTAAGTTTGGGCATCCCCTTTTCTATAAAAAGGGGGTCATTAACGCCTTGTAAAGCAGAGCTCCACTGGACCGCAAAAAGCAATAATATCTTCTCTCTCTCTCTCTTTCTAATTTGTTCATTCTCCTTAGTTCGAAGTCGTCTATATTCAATCATCCTTTTCATCATTCAGAATAGGCCCGAGGCCACTTCGCATTTATTGTCTTCTCACTTGCTCTTCGTCATATAGCTCAACATTGGCCATAGATAGCCTTAGTTAATTGTATCTTTACGTATTTCCCCATCCCTGACTGTCCCCGATAACTCGATCTCGGCTCAAGCCTCGGCCACGAGGCCTTCATCAACCTACTCTACATCCGGCCAGCAGGCCCCTTCGATTTGCTTACTGCCTCGTCTTAGCTCGCATTTTATTGCTACACTTAACACTTTTAGCATCGACTGCCCTAACAACTAGTTTGAGAATAGATCACGTATTTTTAGAATCCCATTTACAAATTTAATTGTTGTTACCATTTTCACGGTAAACAGTTTGGCGCCCACCGTGGGACTAAAAATAATAGTGATTATTTTCTTGCTAGTTTTGTTTCGCGAACGCACGTCATCTTTCACACTTTTCTTGTCCAAGATCCTTTGATTTTAGGCTAAAATGTCTGGCTCGATAAACGGAGCCAAAAACAACAACCTCGAAAATCACGGGGAAAACGGCGTGGTTGTCCCGGCCGTTGGAGCACCTCCGTAGAATCCTGAGATCGCCCCCGGACCGATCCTAGCGGACGCGGACTCACGAGATGCACAACAAGTCGATGAAACCTCTCACACTGACAGGAGCATACGACACGGTGACCAACACGAAGTACAAAAAACCCCGGCCCGGGAAGAACAGGAAGTAAGTCTTCACGTTATCTTCGAAATGTTACAGGCACAGCAACTGGCCATCGCTCAGTTGCAAAGCCACCCGAGGACCCCTAGCATAGCGGCGCTAGAGACGGCTCCCCCGTCGAGCGAACTCTCGAAAGGTCAAGCAACAACGAATCGGTGGCCGATCCCGTCATCGTAAAAATGCTCGAGGACCTCACCAAAAGAATCGAATCAGGAGAGAAATTGATCGCGGCCAATGATAAGAAGGTCGAGACCTAAAACTCCAGGGTCGATCAGATCCCGGGTGCGCCCCCAGTCCTCAAAGGCTTGTATTCAAAGAAGTTCATTCAAAGGTCGTTCCCCGAGAAAGCAGCCCCAAAGCCCATCCCGAAAAAGTTCAGAATGCCGGAACTCCCTAAGTACAACGGCACCTCCGACCCTAACGAACACGTCACTGCTTACACCTGCGCGATAAAAGGCAATGACATAAAAAACGACAAGATCGAGTCCGTGTTGTTGAAAAAATTCGGAGAAACGCTTTCAAATGGGGCCATGATGTGGTACCATAACTTGGCTCCCAACTCCATAGATTCATTCGCCATGCTAGCAGACTCCTTCATAAAAGCACATGTCGGAGCCATCAAGGTAGCAACAAGGAAGTCCGGCATTTTCAAAATCAACCAGAGGGAGAATGAGATGTTGCAGGAGTTCGTATCCCGCTTCCAGATGGAACGAATGGAGCTGCCGCCAGTCTCCGACGACTGGGCGGTGCAGGCCTTCACCCAAGGCCTGAACGAACGAAGCTCGATGGCCTCAAAACAACTAAAGCAGAAGTTAATCGAATACCTGGCCGTAACCTGGTCAGACGTTCACAACCGATACAAGTCGAAGATCAGGGCCGAGGATGACCAGCTGGGAGCTCCTTCAGGCTCAGTATACCCCAACAGACTCCTGGCAAAGGAGACAAAACCAAACAAAGAAAGATACCAACCATACCTCGAAGACGGAAGACACCCCCGAGGTGCAACTTACCCCGCGACGGCCGGAAGATAGATCGAGGATAGGACCCTCGAGGGCTCATCAACGGACCAGGCTCGATCAAAACATGGCACCGATGAACGCGCCCCACTTGTCAGAATATAACTTCAGCGTCGACGTATGGGGTTCGCTATCAGCAAAATCAGGAACGCCAAGTGGCCCAGACCAATACAGTCAGACCCGTCGCAGAGGAATTACAACTTGGTATGCGAGTTCCACAATACACACGGTCACAGAACCGAGGATTGCCACCAATTACGAGAAGAAGTGGCCCGACTACTCAACAAAGGGCACCTTCGGGAATTCCTTAGTGATCGAGCCAAAAACCATTTCCGAGACAGGGAAGCGACCCAAAAAAATGAGGCAAACGAGCCACAACACATCATCCACATGATTATGGGAGGCGCTGATACCCCGCAGGAGCCCATGATGAGGAAAACAAAAATATCCATCACAAGGGAAAAACGGACTCGGGGATATATCCCCGAAGACACCCTTACATTCAGTGAAGAAGGCACCGAGGCTCTGTCTCAACCCCACAACGACGCCCTGGTAATCTCTTTTCTTGTAAATTCTTTTCAGATAAAATGTGTACTAGTGGATCCAGGTAGCTCGGCCAATATTATTAGGTCAAGAGTGGTAGAACAGCTCGGGCTGACTGAATGGATCGTACCCGCCACTCGGGTCCTTACTGGGTTCAACATGCCAAGCGAGACAACGAAAGGGAAATCACCCTTCCAATTACCGTGACCGGCACAACCCAAGACACCAAATTCCATGTCATCGAAGGAGATATGAGATATAACGCCTTGTTTGGACATCCATGGATACAGTGCATGAGAGCGGTACTATCCACTCTCCATCAGATGATAAAATTCCCAACAAAGGATGGGATCAAAACCGTCTATGGGGAGCAACATGCGGCAAGGGAAATGTTCGCCATACACGATGTGCTGCCGGCGCTCGCGCTTCTTCTCCCAAAAAAGCCAATGGGTAAATCAGACCTCGGCCCCGATCGGGTTTGACAAAAGTGAAATCCGCATCATGTGTCCACCCTCGGGCAGTCGTAATAAGCCGACCCCAAGGCGCCGCCGGCCTGCCGCGCTTTAAGGTACGCCCACTTCTTTTATTTTATTTCAGAATAAGAACTAACCCCCATGCAGGCACCCAGCCCGAGGGATCGGGACACTGACGCTATCAGAAGCAATCGAGACCCCCGAAGCACACCCGTTTCACTCTTTTCCTTCGACCGAGTTTTTTATCCTAAAATAAGAAAAGGGTTCTTACCGGCAAGGTTTTTAACGAGGCAACAGCGGCAAAACTGCTAAAAGGGGAAAAACTCCACAGGGTTGATCAAAGCCACCCTAACAGCCAACCTACAAGCGGCGAAGGGCATTCCCCTTGGGAGCCACCCAATCCAAAGGATATGGAGAAACGCCAAAGCAAAAGTTCCTACGGGAAGACGACGTATAGGGCCGAACGACCAATATAATCAAAATCCGCCAGAGCGGAAGCATGTACTATTATCGGGTAATCAATCAAAAATATCCATTTTTTCCCGTGAAAGAAAAGGAAGGCTCCCTCTCGATGTAAAACAAATCATTGAAGCAATCGTATTCGGCGAAAAATAAGCCGGCCCAGCACAAATTTTACGCATACTATGCCGATGAATCGAAGAATATCTTCCAGCGTCTCGTTCCCCAAAAAAGAGGTATTCAAGCTCAAACAAAGCCGATATACTCGGAGACTTAAGTGGTTCAGTGCCCCTACGACCCCAGGGTCGGGACTCCGGGTTCACGAAGTCCCCGCAATACAACCCCAAGATTACAAAAGGCGCGATTTAAGCCTGAACTGATCCGATATACTCGGAGACTCAATGTATGAAGTTCTAAACAGCTTGCACAATCCCAAGGACAGAACGCCGAGCTCATCAAGCCCTCGGAAAACAACTCCGAGCTCACGAGAAGCTGTCTTCAAGCAAACTCGATGACTCAGAGGTTGTCGCCAATCGCCACGCGCTGGAAAATCCAAAACCATAAGACCCTAGCGGGCAACCTCGGCATAACCAGATATATTCCGCAAACTGTAAGACCTCAACAGGTATGACAAACTGTAAGATCTCAACAGGCATGACAAACTGTAAGACCTCAACAGGCATGATAAAATTGTAAGACCTCAACAGGCATGATAAAACTGTAAGACCTCAACAGGCATGAAAATCCCGATACTTAGGATATACGTCGCATTTGTAAGACTCCCTAAAGGGCATACCCTTGATGTAGACGCCTAAACTATCACTAAGGGATCAAAAATAGCTACGGCTAAACGCATACAACTATGGTCGAAACGGTTGATACAGCCCAAATAACACGACTCGGGGACGCCCGACTGTTGCTAAAAAATCGCAGGCCATCGCTCCGATATACTTCGGAAAAAACCGGTTAAAACAAGCTTCCCTCCACAGGCAAAAATGAGCTCCGACAATATCGGCTCCAAAAATGCAAGAGCGTCGATCTACTCGACATATGAGCTATGAACCTTACGAGGTGCTCGAAACACCGCCGATAACGACTTGAAATCGAGGTTCCTCTGGAACCAACGAAGGTTCAGGCAAAATTACTACAAAAAGACCTTAATGAGCGGATACAAAGCCTACACAAAGCCCACATGCAAAAAACAGCGTAAGAGCCATTGTCGCCAGCTAAGCAAGCCTACGGGCCACATATTAAAAGGTCTCTACGACCAGATAGCGTAAGAACCATTGTCGCCGGCTAAAAAATCTTGACAACTTGAGGATTAAAATGAGCTCGAATCGTAACTCGATTCGGAGACCGGATCCAAAATAGTTAACTATACAAGCCTATGGGCCACATATCAAAAGGTCTCTACGACCAAGCAGCATAAGTGCCATCACCGCCGGAAATTCAATATAAGCTAGGGATCGATTACAGCTCGAATCGCAACGCGATTCGGAGACTGGACCCGGAAAGTGCAATATGCCTAAGGGCACGACATAAATACCACCATCGCCGAAAATGCTGTAAAATCTAAGGGTCAACTACAGCTCGGATCGCAACGCGACCTGGAGACTGGGCCCGAAGATTGCAATACGCCTACGGGCCGGCATAAGTACTACTGTTGCCAGGATCTCAATGAGATTTAAGGGACGATTACAGCTCGGATCTCAACGCTGCTCGGAGACTGGACCCGGAAACTACGAGACGCCAAGAGGCGAGGAATAAAAGCCACTGTCGCCAACCGGAAATTTACGGTAATTCGAGGGTCAATTACAGCTCGGATCGCAACACGACCCGGAGACTGGGCCCGAAAGTTATAATATGCCTAAGGGCACGGCATGAGTGCCACCATCGCCGACCAGGGAATCGAGAAAACTCACGAGTCAATTGCAGCCTGAATCGCAATGCAGCTAGGAGACTAGACCCGAAGATTTCAATGTGCCTAAGAGCACGGCATGAACGCCACCGTCGCCAATTAGAGGTAATTTAAGGGTCGATTATAGCTCGGATCGCAACGCGATGCGGAGATTGGACCCGGAAATTGCGGAACGCCCAAGGGCGGGGAGTGAAAGTCCTCATCGCCGGCCAGAAAATCAAAGAAACTTAAGGGTCGATTGTAGGTCGAATCTCAAAGCGACTCGAAGACTGGCCCAAGATAGTTAAAGAACAGCATGCCTAAGGGTATGGCCCAGATGACACCCCCATCAGATCTCCAGGACACTTGCCCGCAATATCAAATTCAACTAAGAGCACAAAGGTCCGTCATCTTCTGCCCATACAGGCCAGGATAAGTCCCGAAGAGCAATTGCAGCTCGGGTCACAAAAGCGATTGGATCCAAAAGACAGCTGAAAATGGCAAAATGCCCAAAGGTATAAGATGAAAACAACTACTATTTGCCCGTACGGGCACAAAGAAATCAAAGAACAGGAAAGGTCGAAGCCAGAGCACAACTCAGAGGCCAAGCCGAAGCAGCCAGGCCAAACACGAAAGTCCTAAAAACCCATTCACATCAAAAAATCGCGCCTAAAGACCTTCGGACAGTTCCGAGCCTACTAGGATCCCTTCGAGCGTCCAAAACCGGCCCGCTCGGTCGAGATCAACGAGCAAAGAAAAAGTTACCTGAGTTACAACATTACAAATTTCTTCTTATATATTGCGTGCGCAAAAAAAAAAGGGGCACACTCTCCATCTACAGGCATACTTCGCGTGCATCAGAAGCAAAACGACAAAACAGCAGAATCAACATCCCACACCAAAGGAAGCCACAGCCCGCCAAAATTTCACCCTCCACAAGAAATAATATAGCACCACATTTATTCTCCTTGATCGAGCCAATTCCTCCGGGATAACGGAACCCCTTGCGCCAACACGCTCGACTACCCCTCTCCAGATCTACGACGGACACATTCCTCGATTATCTGCCCTCGGTCAAAGGCTCACTCCAATCCAGCCTGGACGTCAGCGGCACCCCTCGGTTTCCCGGTCATACCCGGCCGATCTTTGACGCTGACACAAAGGAAGTCGGGCTTCGAGGGACAAAGACCCTATCCGAGGCATCCGCCCCCTTCGGAGCATAAGCCCACACTTGAGCTCTTGGCTCCCCACGAGCCGCTCTAGCGAGATCAACATCGCCCTTAAGGTACTCCAAAAATCCACTCTTTTTCTGCAGCTGGTATAAACGAAAAAGGGGGAGGGTAGCCCTAAAAGCAGAAGGGGCGAAGCACATATTGCAAAAGGCCACCTGGTCCATCAAATAGCTCCCATATTTTGGGCCCGTCCCCGGACATAAAGGGCCCCAGAGGCAGTCGGCTTAGTCGAGGCATTCTCCTCAGAAGCACGAAATGGCCTCGCCTTGATAAAAGGCTCTGTCACACCACATATCTCATTATCAACGTCGCCCGCCTGGAGATCTACAGCCTCGGAAGGAGGCGCATCCACACTCCCGAGGGACCATCCGATGCCAACAACGCCCGCAACGGAGGAAAGGAAAAAACAATTGCTAAGTTCACCATCATCGAAGACAGAACCGGAGGAACGCGGGGCATGCCTCCCGAAGGACATCCTTTCGTCCCTACAAGCAACTAACGAGGGTATCGAAGGCGTGGCACCAACGCCCGGGAGGAACAACTCGCCTGAGCCCGGTCTCCACCTCCTCCAAATAAAGCAGCCATTAGAGGTAGGTCCCGACGGCCCCTAAGGATGCAAAGGCAACCAAGAACACCGGCCATCAGCGCCCTGTACCGCACCGGTAGGATAGCCAAAGCCCCTATCGTGGTAAAATAAAGCTCCTATAGGCCAGAAACGCCTTCACTAACACAAGGACAGCGCATAAAGGCCTCCGCCAAAGGAAGACGGCCAGCAGATGCAGTGGCATCTTGACGAACGCTCGTATGGAACGACCCCCGGACTTCGATCAGGGCGATCCAATCGCAGGCAGACCTCTGCTCGGAACCCGCATTCGGGGAGCTGCCAGTGCCCTTAGACCCGCCAGCCCTCGGTCAGGCCTCCTGTCGAAGATCACCAAAAAGTCCGAAGACATCATCCTCGCCTTCGCGGCAAAATGTCTGGCGGCCCAACGTTACTGGTCTTATTTTTAAGTCGGAGCACGACGAACCCTACGCGGAGCTGTGTTTTCAAGCAAAATCCCTACAAGGGTCAGAAGAAGCGCCCAAAAACGAGTAAACATAGCTAACCTTATGCATCCTGAAGAGGGTTATCTACATCAAGATTGA